CCCTCAGGTGAATGTTGGTTTTTAAACTTCGTACCGCTTACGAAACTTCCCCAGCAGAACAATTGGTTTCAGGTTTATTCCTGTAAAGAGTTTGTACGTGATAGTTTTTTTTAAATATCGGACACATAATCGGGAAAACACAAAAGGGAAACATTTGTCTTCTTTCTTTTTCATTTTCCCAGCACTAGTTTATTACATCACAGCTTAAAACACTGATTCCAGTATTCAACTAGTTATACATCATTTCCATCTCTTCTTCTTACTGTGTTGAGCCATCAGAGATGCTTCATATTTCCATGTTTTACAGGATTTTCTGCCTAGAGTCTGTCATCATTGTGTTTAAATAGTAGTTTTGACTTTTCATGTAAATGTCAGGATAGGCAGCATCTTCTTTAACTAGGTCAAGCTGCCAAAATAAATCCAGAATTAAATTTTAATACTTATAAAAGGCTGAAAATAATTGTTCTGAATCCAAAACAGTTAGATGTAGTTTGTTAATTTCCCTCGTTTTGTTATTACCCTAGAGTAGCTTTGGTGCATCTTTTCTCTCTCAGTTAATATTTATTATAAACATCCATCATAACAGCATATATGCAATTACTGGTCACTTTGTTAGGTACACCTTGTTTATAGCAGGTATGACCCCTGCTGCTGACAGAACTGTGTCATGAAGTCATGTTCATTAATTGTTGACTTGAGTCTGCCGTTCCACCTCATCCCAAAGATGCTCTATTGGAGTACAGTGAACTCATCTTCGTGTTCAAGAAACCAGTTTGAGATGATTTGAGCTGGAAGCAGCCATCAAAAAATGGGTGCAGTGTGGTTATAAAGTGATAGACATGGTCAGCATTAGCTGGGCTGTGGTGGTTAAACAATGCTAAGCTGGTACTAATTGGCTCAAAGTATGCCTAGAAAATATTCTCCACACTCTCACACCGCTATCAGCAACTTGAAATGTTAATACAAGGCAAGATGTTCGTCCTTTTATGTCGTTTACACCTAATTCTAACCCTACCATTTGAATGTCACAGCAGTCATCAGACCAGCAACATCTTTTCAATCTTCCGCTGTGTCCAGCTTTGGCGAGCCTGTTCAAACTGCTGCCTCAGTATTTGTTGCTCTGACTGCGGGAATTGGCACCAGCCTTGGTGTCTTTCAGAGGAACTGCTCCTGTTAGTTGTTTGCACTTCCATTCTGGATTAATTTTTCAGACCTGGAGGTTACTACTTGTAAATATGTTGGAGTCTCATACACAAATTTAAATGAAAACTTGTTAACAGATTTGAAGCAGTGGAAATTGTAACCACTCAAAGACATTTAGAACAGTGACAGGTCCCCAGCTCTAATCTGTTTCTTTGTTTTGTAAGCTGGTGCAGACCCAGGACGTGCTGGAGACATTACATCTCAGGGCGGGGCTGAGCACCCTGATACCACACCTTCACTTTGGAAGAGGTGGAGTAGGTGGCTGGGGAGATGGTGGTGTTGGGATCCCATATGTATAAATAAAATGTAATTTAAAATTGCTTTGACTGCTGGCCCTTGCAACTCAGACGCTAATATATATGTGGATTTATCTTTTGTTGTTGTTGTTGTTCCTGAGTAATTAAGCTCCGGTCTGACGCATTAGACTAGCTGCCTAATGCATCTGTGCGATGCATTAGACTAGCTGCAGCCGTCAGGGAGTGCCATTGCCATATGGGAGGTGTAATTTGGCTGTAATAATGTTTAAGTAGGGCAGTCTGTGTGAAAACAACATCCACATAAAAACCAGGATCCATTGCAGCGTGGCAAATGTAATTGGTTTTAATGTTGGTGCTAGCTGATTTATGTGGAAAATACTGGGTAAAGTTCAGGTTTGAATGACAGTCAATGTCCCGTATACTTTCTGGGGGGGTTTTTTTTGACTGGCATTTTGTAAAGTTGAACAAGTAAATGAAAAGTATGTTAAGGATTAATAAAACAGTTGGAATAACTGCAAATGCTGAAATAATGTAATGATGCAACTGCTAGGAAGTTGAGGGTTAAATCGTTTTATTACAGTTACACCGCAGATGGTGTAACTGTAATAGCTCTCTGGCATGTGAGAAGGAAGCTCAAAGGGTGAACGATATTAGTTTCAGGTGCACAGTACATACGATTGTGCTGAAGATGCGTCCCATTACAAAGCGACTGAATGGTTCTTTTAACAGATTTATTTTTCAGGTAATTGACAGTCATTTAAACCTGACTAAAGCTCTAAAATAGATGCATTTTGTGAACCAAAAAGACTAATTCATGTAAAACATGAAAGTCACAAGACTGTGAAACCACATCACCAGAGAAAACCTGCTGGGACCAGACTGTACAAATCACGTTTCCATCCTGCCTTTTTTTTTCTGTGTATCAGAGCAGCTGACAGTTAAAGCAAAAGCACAACTGGTTTCAGTTCCTTAAAACAAAGACAGTGTAAACAGTGTTTAATGGTATGAGGTCCAAAAGTCATTGAAGCTAGATGATAACAGAAATCTTTTACTGGGTCATGTGATTTTTACAGGGTTTTTTTTTTTTTTTTAGTAGAAAAGTCCAATTTAAGCTCAGTTATAAGTGAAAGAGCAATTTGAAGCTGCTCACTTCAGTACTGTAAAATAATGAGGTGCAGCTGTTGTAATCTCTTCATGCAGGAAATGGTAAGAAATGCAAACATTGGTTAATTAACGCAAGAGTAAGTGAAAAGACTGATGGATTTGAGAGAAGTTTCGTTCGTTTACATGAAGAAAAAGATGTAATACAACATTTTTTTCAGACATTGTGTTTCTGTTGGCTTCATCCGAACAATCACCATGTAGTAGAGAGTTTACTGCTGGATGTGAACAGGCTGGGATGACATCCGACACCTCAGGTGTTGCTCTAGACTGTGGTGGTGACGGGAGAACTGAGCCAGAAGGTGAACGTTTTGATTTACTAGTCGATCTGCATTCCAGATCTCAGAAACGTCGAGTAGCGAAGAAATCACAGACGCAAGCAGCAGAAATGAGTTTCTCCTGAAGGGTTCAGTCTTTGAGATACGGTGAGGAGTTCGAGTGGCAACCATACAGAGAGCATCAACAACTGTGCATATATATGGTTGGTTTTGTGCATGACTAGTGGTTTAAATTAGATTTTGGGGTTTTTTGTGTTGTGCTTGTTTTTTTTGTTTTGTGTTTTGTTGTGTTTTTAGCTCTGCTCTCAGAAAGGAGAAACATAAACACTCTTAGCACAAGTCCAAAGATCTCTAAAAGCTTTGTATTATGAACAAATCGTTATAAAATCTAACTCAACGATGTAAATCCACAGCCTGATGGAGCTTATTCTGCTTTACTATGTTGTTCAAAACAAAGCAGAAGATTGTCAGAATTTTTATTATGACTTAGATGCTTTAGAAAATCGCTGAGGTTTACTCCCTGAGAGCCATTTCTTTACCTCCTTCATCTTCTTTTCTACAGATGCAGTGATGCTTTTAACCTCCACACAGTGACTCCACATCACCAACACCAGCCTCGCTTCCAGCTCCAATGATCTTCCACCTCTGACTCTTTCCTAAAATTGACCAGTAGGTGGGGCCAGCCCTGCCCAGGTGGGGTGGCCAGCGATGGAAGGCCGACGTGGTGGAGGCAGCAGCATCGGTAGCTACTCACAGATCCCTGTCAGAACAGGCATGGAGTCTGTCAACTCGCCGGCCGTTTCTGTGAGATTGGAGGCGTACGACATCGGAGAGAAGAAATGCATCTCGGATGTGAGGAGGACTTTCTGCCTCTTTGTCACCTTTGACCTCTTGTTCGTCACCATGCTCTGGATCATAGAACTCAATGTAAGTCTGTGTTTGTAGTGGCTGTGACAGCAGTTTTGTTTTTCTTATTAGATATCTGTAGTAATAAAGTTTTTACAGCAATGAGATTAAGATATATCACCAGACAGTGAGCCTTTTTGACTGGGTCAGCCTACTCAGGAGAAATTTATTGAATCATCTGCTGTCTTCTATGCATTTTGCTCAAGAAAAAACTAAAACTGAAGATGATTTTATTATTTCCCAGACATTAAAGGGTTATTTAAAGTAAAGTTAAACAAAGTCAGGAAAGATAAAACGCTAGTATTGAAGTTTTTAAAAAACAGTAAGTGAAGCTGTTAAAAGGCCAGGCTCAGAGCCTTTGGTTTTGCTTTTTTGTGGAAAAACATTTATTGTTCTTTGCATTTAGAGTTGTTTCTTTCAGCCTGTGGTGGACTTTCCGATTGACAGTATCATTCCTATCTGCTTTTACTTTTGTGCCTGATCAGTACGATTAACAGCAGTCAGCTTGACTCACAACTGATCGGAATAACAAAAATAAACACACCGTAGATTTCTGATGCACTAAATCACTTTGGAGGAAAAATGAGTTTCCTCTGCTGACTGACAGTTATTGTTTGTTGAGCTCAGTTGTATGAAAGTTCAGAGGAACTCGTGAGTAGCCACCGATTTGTACACAACTGATAGCAAAGTGTGGAATATGGCATTACATGTGAACAAAGGTTTAAAGCTGGTGAAGAATGCACGTTCCTTATCTGTACAGACTTTTTCTTAACTAAACTATCAAGTGGTTTAGTTGGTATCGTGGTTTACAGTGGTTCGCCTACCAGGTGAAAGATCCCAGAAGGAGACGTTTATCCCATTGGGTTTGGTTCAGGAAAGACATCTACCTGCTGTGGTGACTTCTTGTGACAAGGGAGAAGTAATACCATTACTTCTTCCTGTTCACAATTTTTACCTTTGTAACAACAAATCATTGAGTAATAAAACCAGCTGCCTTTTCAGTGAGTCTCTCATCCAGTGGTTGAGCTCCAAATCCACCGTCTTACACATCAGTTTGCGGCAGCTATCCTCGTTCTGCTCTTGGTGAGCTTCATATAGTGGTGCAGAAGCAAGTTCTTGACATGGTGCAGGTTCTGCAGATGGACTCTGTTGAGGGCTTCAGTCCAGTTAGGTGGAGTCAGACAGCTGGATGAGAGACTCTCTGGAGAAGCAACTACAGAACTCCCAGAATAGCATCATAACCAGAGAGCCGGCTGGTAGTGATGACAGAATAAAGGTATGAGCGGATAGACACTGAACTTTCAAAATAAGAGCCACAGGATTGTCCATAAGTAAATCAGTCGCAGATGACAACGTCCTTTAAGATGGATTAAAAAAGTATACCCGTTGATATACCTGATTAGATCTGTGCACGGTCATACAGCGCAGCGGCCAGATTGCACCAGACTGGCCTCCTCCACAGTTATTTAAATGGACTATAAAAAATATGCAATAAGATTAATGCTACAGGATATTTTAACCAAACCAAAATATTTGTGCTTTCTCAGCACTGCCCCACCACTAACATCTGGATGAGTGTTAGAAAGCTAACTAACTTTATCAAATTACATCCATGCTTTGTTTTAAAAGGAAAGAATTTCTTGTCTTTAACAAACGGCAGCGTTGTTAACCCATCCAGATAAAAACAAAAACAAAAAACATACATCTGTTTGTTTCTATTCTTTTATCATGGTGGCAGTTTAGGAGGAGCTCTTGCAGGGACTTTTCTGGTTTTTAGTTACTGAAATGCTGCAGTATGTGCAGGGTGCCGATCTTTGGTTTTTCTGCTTTGAACCGTGATCTCTGGGTCTGCTGATTTAAACTAATGGAGAATCTACAGGCTCGTGCTGCAGTATTGAAGTGTCCAGCATGTTGGAACAGTGTTTGTGTCCTCCAGGACTCTGAACTGTTTACAGTATTTGACTGAAAGTTTTAATGTATTCTAAACATGTTTATCTTCTTAGATGACAGCAATCATTAATTAAGCCGAGTGGACTCTGTCTCTCTCCTTTTTGAAGATATTACTCAGCGTTGTTGCTTTTTCTGTAAATGTCACATCTGAAAAAAGCCGGAAGGAACATTTAGTGAAAATGTTACTAAATGCCATCACGATAAGAGATAAAGTCAGCAGAATTATCAAACGTATTCCTGTAAGGGTGCATTTAGATACCACAAACAAACAGTTTATGAACTACAGAAAAAAACGTTTTTTAATCTTGTGCACATATTTTAATACTCAGTTTGCCTGTTTACACGTTTTACGATTTTATTTTATCTGACTTGTTAAAAACAGGTCTGTTAACCATTAACTGTGAGGAAGCAGTTACATTATTGTCAGTCATCCTCGGTCATGATAGGTTACTGTTTATCGCTCTGGAACTGTAAAATGTCTGCAGTTGTGCACCGAGAAACAACGTTTACAGTTGGAGTGAATTGTGTCAAGGTCGAGCAGAAGCAGGACAGCCTGCATGCTGGACGAGTGGATCGAGGTCATGCAGCTGATTGAGGAAGTGATTTGACTGCGGCACACATTCCCAGAATGCTCCATTTGACCTCGGGCACTAAAATAACTGTCCACGAGAGACGGACTTGTTCTCTTTTGTGTAACTAGAAGAGCACCCTGCAAATGCACTGCAAACCTGCTCACTTTCAAAATGGAGAACGTTTCATCATCCATGACTTTAATCCTGAGTGGTTTTTACTCAACAATTTGATGACTTTTTTATTTTTTTGTGAAGAAGTTTCCTTCCTTCCTCTCAGCTGTAACACTGAACACTTTGGCTGTTACTCTGTTTTGACTAGCTGCTATGGGACTGATTGGAGGAGTAGTGCTGAGTGTTAATTCAGTTCAGTTTTTTTTATATATATATCGTTAGTAAAGTGGCCTCAAGGTGCTTTACAATTATGAGATAAAGACCCAACAGTATTGGAGAGAAAACCCCAACATTCAGACAGGGTTCCTACCTTTACTGCCTTTAATACCTTTGCTATGAAAAGATACATTTTTTTGCAATTTCTGCCTCAAAAACACATTTGGACACTGTGATGAAGGTGACGCACCCTGCTAAGTATAGGTCTGTCAGCATTAGGGCTGCCACAAACGATTATTTTGATAGTCGACTAGTCACCAATTATTTTTGCGATTAGTCGACTAATCAGATCATCATCCATTGGACGTAAAACGTACAGCTTATTGCACCAGCAGCATCTGCTCTTATATAACTATCATTAGCTTACAGCTTTAAGTGTTTAAGGTATGTGCTAACTAAAAATAAAGACAAGATGATAGTTTATTACATTTTAATGAAATTTGCAGATTGTTTCGGTGAAGTTTAATAAACTCCTTGCTATCTAAAATATAACAGGACACCGGAGTAAATTCTCCAGCATCTCACACTTATGATAATCAGCTGTCTGCTTGACGTTTATTCAGCTGTGTAAAAACTATAACTTTAATCTCAGCCAAACCGATTTACTCAGGACTAAAAAAAAGCCAAACAATACCATTTTTAAGTTATCTAAGTGACTTATATATGTTTAACCTGAGTAGCGAAAGACAGCGGTGGGTTTGAAAACGATTTGCCGGGAGTCCGGTGTTCTCACGGCTCTAGCGAGCCTAACCCCCGGCTAGCTATCGAGCTAGTGGGTAACAGACGTCTCCGAAAACGTCGGAGCGCTTTTGAAAATATGTGGTGTCTTGATAAACTGAGCCGATATTTGAAGTTTACACAGCTACATTCTCGCCTGAAAATATGTTAAACGTTTATTTTGTGACCCAGAAAGAATAATAAGAGTAATATTAAAACTAACTAGCTGCCACCATTGTTGGAAACTGAGCTGGGCTGCGCTATGAATTCTGGGACACAGCTTCTTCTTCTTCGGGGTTTAACGGCAGCTGGCATCCTTGTACATGCAGTGCTGCCATCTTCTGTTTCAGTCCGTTATTACACTCTTAAATCCTACTACTTATTCCTGCGTCTTTTGTGATCTTACAAAGTTCAAACGACGCGTCGACTATTAAATCAGTCGTCGACGATTTTGATAGTCGACATAATCGTGACTAGTTGACTAACCGTGGCAGCCCTAGTCAGCATTACTAATGGGTGCAAATTAAAATCTTTTGCTGCATATAATCACGTTGAGGGAGTTTTATATAAATCCTTTGTTTTTAACAGTGTTTTTGATTTAATAAGGTTTCAAACTAAAATAACAGAAATGGTCAGTAACAACAAAAAATCTCTACGTAGCAGAAAATAAGGAGAATAGCTCCATGTTAATACCAGTATTATGCTCATAATTACAATACTAACTTATTTTATACAAACCACATCTGAGACGTCTTGGTTGTGCAATGACTGACACATTATTATAGTAAGTATATGCTTCTTTTTTTCTTTGCCTAATGTTGATGAAGCAGATATGTCATTAAATTGTAGAACTCCAGAATATTTAGGTAATCAATCATTTTTCTATCCTGATTGTTTCTTCTCAAATATGAGGCGTGCATTAGTATGTAGGCTGGATTTAAGTTGGAGCTGCCAGACAACCAAAGACAACTCAGGATGTCGATGTTGTATTTTTGCTGGCAGTTTGTTGATTTAAAAAAATCAGCCTTCAACATAAGAGCACTGCAGTTGGAATTTAATGGTGTTTATACACCACTCTGCATTTAATCTCTGGCCTCTGATTAATCTTCCCTCTGATGGTCGGGAGCAGCTTCTTTGTGTACAAGCGCCGTAAAAAGTTCTAGAAAGAATCTCTGGATACAGACTTTCTGAATATGTTGCAGATCGTGTTGTTGTTGGAGAGCTAAATTCCAGAGCTGAGTTCAGCCACTGACTTCAACAGTGTGGCACTTTCTGTCTAACAATTCATTCCACTCATGCCGATGATGCCACTGCAGCTGATCACGAAACTGAGTAAACTAGCAAGCAAGACCTGTACTTTGTGTTTTCAGTCCAAGTTCCTGCACTTGCATTTAGTTTGCTTCTGTGTTTATCACAGAGGGGAGTCGAGTTCACAGCCCTCTAACACAAAAGCTGAAATCCTCCAGTCTCCTTTAATGCACCTAGTTTTTCAAACATCTATTTAGGATGATAATAAAAATATACATTATCATCTCATATAAATCGAAATATTAATTATAGCACAGTGACGAAGACCAGTATAGGAAGTAATGGTTCTGAAGGGAAATCTTGATCCCACCTTTGTGTGCAACTAGCTGCACTCTTGCTAGTCGGTAAAGTGAATTATTTCATATTTCAATTCATATTTACCAACATACGAAGATTTTTAGCTGTTGAGTCTAAGATGTTGTAGCGGGGACCAGAGATGGGATTACAGTAACGCGTTACTGTAATCCGATTACTTTTTTCAAGTAACGAGTAAAGTAAGGGATTACTATTGCAAAAACGGTAATTAGATTACCGCCACTAGCAACGAGGAATAACGCCGTAACAAAAACCGAGATTTTTTGCAAGAATGTCTCATGACAGTGACGTAAGCGAGTGCGACGTTCGTGACAACAGCTGTGTGCAGATCAACAGTGGATCATATATCGAGTGCAGAGAGAGTATGAGCGTGCAGCGTTTAAGGCGTGGAAGTACTGACCTTACTTTGAGTTTGATTCCATAAAAAGTGACAAAAACATTAGTGTCCGTTGTGCGTGGGAAGAAAACTTCTTTTTACAGCGAAAAAAACCCCCTAAACTTCCAAGCAAGCACCGAGTAGCTACGACGTAATGGGAAACTCACAGAGAAACTGCCAGATCCTTCCACTGACCACTGTGGCACACCTGCACCAGGGTAAACCTCCGCCTACCCCACTCCTGCTTTACAGGTGAAAATAGAGCAACAGGACCGCTAGTCTTTGACTTTATTTATTTTCTGCTGTGTTTTACTTGCATCTATTTGAAAGAGTGAGTGTAAACACAAATATACATATACACATACACATACACACACACACACACACACACACACTTATTTATTTATTTATTTATTTATTATGTTCTGGAATGTGCAGAAAATAGGTTTAAATGTTAAACTAATTTCTTCCAGTCAGAGAATGGTGCATATAATTTAATTTTTGCTTGATGCATAAAGTTAAAAGATTAAAACTAATAAAACTAAACTACATTTTGTATGATGATTATGCAGAAAAAGTAGAATTGAGCTGAAAGATCTATCACTTTATCACCTATTCAGGTTGTAAATCGTGTTTTTAAAAAGTAACTAAGTAACTAAGTAATTACTTTTGAAAATAAGTAATCAGTAAAGTAACGGGATTACTTTTTTGGGGAAGTAATCAGTAATTAGTTACTGATTACTATTTTCAAGTAACTTGACCAACGCTGGCGGGGACTGACAGATCGCATTTCTTTATCACTTTGATCTAGAAAAAGAGCAGCTGTGTGAGTAGATTGTCAGAGTAAAGCAGCCGATAACCGTTTGACCCAAGAGATGCAAAACCACACTCGTCTGTGCTGAGCATGGTTTGCATCTCTCGGGTCAAACGGTTATCGGCTGCTTTACTCTGACAGTGCTAACCTAAGCACACTGAGCTAATCTGAAACCGTGTGACAGAGATTCATTTCAGAGACATTTGAAACAAAAGGAAGTTAATTTTAATCACCCACACAGTATTTCTGTGGTAATTTTTCACATTTGATTGAGCTCAGTTTTGAATTTTGTTGTTTAGGTGACAGCACATTATTCACTGTTAGGTCTGTACAAGCTGACAGCTTTTAGCTTTAACTGTAAATGAAGCAAAAGTCTTTTTTTTGTCAATTTAATGTTAATACTCACGACTTCGTCTGAGTTGTAGCTTCTCACAGTTGCTAAACAACCTTACTCGAAGTATATTTGCAGAACCTCACAAACACATTTAAACCATTTTATCAGTGCTTAAAACCACACTATCTTTAAACGTTATCTTTCTAACCTCATGTTGCTGTTTCTTAATTTTGCAAAAATGGCAGACTCGCACTGCTTCTCAGCCTCTCATTATATTTGCAGAGTGATGCACAGAAACATCAGTTCACGGCAAAGATTCACAGACACAACTGCAGCACAAGGATTTTCCAGTTATACATATTGTTAGCTATTGTTTGCTACCAACACCAACGATGGATGGAAACAATCTGAGAGGAAGAACAAAACCAGGAACACGAGTTTTAACAGGAGTTTTAGGTGAAATTTGAGCAGCTGTTCTGGATTTATACATAAAATGATAAGAAACTTGAAGTGTGAGACTCTTTGGTTCTTTCTTTCAGATATCTCTCAAACAAGAATAACATTTCCTTTATTTATAGTTCCTGTAAGTTACTCTTCTTGATCTATCTCGTCCTCCTCCTCTGCTTCTCGGATGATTTCCATCCATTGCTGGTGGGGGTGGAAGATTTTCAGCTGCTGTGCTTAGGAAATGACGCGAGTGCTGCAGATCTGTAAGCTTAACCTCTGCATCCTGTGGTTAACTTCATGCATTTTGCGGTGACTCATTGTGCAAAATGTGTTATTGAGCGAGGGAGAGCCCATTATTTAAAAAAAAAAAAGGCATCAAAGGAGATCTGCAGATAGAGTCTAAAAAGGTGAAAGCTGTAAATGAGAGCAGGATTGTTTCAGTGACTGAAAATGATGCAGTTGCGTAAAAACTGTAAAAAAATTCCAGAAAGTAAAAATCTGTTGAGGTCATCAAAAGCAAAGGTGAAGCTGAGGTCTGCAAACTGTCTGCCGCTGCATTTTTCATGTCCTTTTTTAATACATGCAGATATGAGTGCTGTTTTATTGAAGTGAGATTTTAAATATAGCACCAACACCCTCAGATTTCCTGTTGGTTCTAGAGAACTGATACACTGCTGACGTTGTCGAGCCAGCTCTCAGTTAAAGGCATAAAATCAAGAGGAAGTCACCGAGCGAGGTCCTTTATGACCCAAGATAGCGCTGTGCGATATGACGAAATATATCGATGACGAAATGAAAAAAACGATCGTTTCAAATTGTACGCTATCGTTTGTTTCGTGGTTTCCAAAATAAGCTGTTTACGGCAACGTTTTTTCATCGGGGCGCAGAGAATACCAGCATGGCCAGTGAATATGAGGCAGAACCAGGTAGCACCAAACAGAAGGACTAGTCAAAACAAAACGAGGACCTTATTCCTAATGAGGGCCGACCCCTGTAGCATGGACTTGACTTAGTTATGATAAGTCTGACACACACCAGAAAACTCTACTATGCAAATTATGCCGCAAACCGGTTCCTGCCACAGACTCAAAACACGACAAACCTCTTCTACCACCTACGCAAGAATCATGTGAAAGGTTGTTGACAGAGTTTACAGATGAGAAGCAAAAAGGAGCCGTCAGGTGCTCAAAATAAACCTTAGATTCAAATGTTAGAACAGGTTTTTCCTCGCAGCACGTTGTGTAATAAATACAAAGAACATGGTGGCCGTTACATATAGTTTCATGCACCGGTCAAAACACTCAGCTCCAGGTACACGACACCCAGCTGAAAACACTTCACACAAGTCGGGTTGCCCAAGATTCACAGAGTTTACATAAAAAACCCTTTTTTGTCACATACATTGTTATCAGGATGAGAAATGTGTTACATGAGGAGATGAGATTTTGGTCATCGCGCAGCCCTAACCCCAAATGTTTATTTGAATCCTACAACTTCTCATGTTTTTTGTGTGTTATTTTAGATGGAATAAACTTACAAAAAATCTAACTGCCTCACTCAGGTCATTTTGCCTCAGTTGTTTCAGGGTTAACTTTAACATTCAGAGTATTTGTCATGATGAGCTGTTTGTGTTTGTCAGGTGAACGGCGGCATTCAGAATCGGCTGGAACAAGAAGTGCTGCACTACGACTACCACGCCTCCTTCTTCGACATCTTTGTAAGGTTCTTTCTTTTGCTTTAAATGATCAACTTTATATCATTTATTTTATGTGGGGTTTTTTCACTATTTTTTTTTCCTTCCTTTTTGTTTCCCTGCTCCTTCTGTGCCACCTTCACCTTCCTCCCCTCCCTCAGCTGCTGGCAGTTTTCAGGTTTGCCGTGCTCATCCTGGCCTACGCTGTCTGCAAGCTTCGTCACTGGTGGGCCATCGCGGTAGGTTTTAAGGCTGCACGCCACAACAGTGTTTCTGTAATTGCGCCAGCAGAGGGCGCTGCCCAGCAAGAGCTCACATTGTTGGGTGCACAGTGAAGTGTCTGGCAGGAGGATGCACTAATTCTTGTTTCTGTGCATTAAATATGTCATCAGGGGGCATCAGTGTTTGTTACAGGGTGATTCTGTG